AGGAAGGGGAGGGTGGGGATATAGGGGAGAGATCAATCAAAGGACTTGTATGCATGGGTATAAGTTCCTTAAAATGATAACCGAGGAATTCATAAAGTAGCCCCTGCCCTTATTTCTCCTACACCCCTCCTTGAATATATGTTTGTGCATGTAGGGACACATAGACACATAGTTTTCCAGCCACAGGAAGGTGATGTCTCAATGAACCATGCACTTCCATGGCTCCTCATGCTGTGATGTTCTCTGCTCCATCTAAAAAGCCTCTTCATCTGGTTTCATAAACAGCACTTTTCAAGATTTTACTTAAGGGGGAATTCAACTTCATATGAATAAACTATACAGGAAGGCACTTTCTGTTCTCTTCTCTCATTAAATTTAGTGCATTTCTTAAAATGAGCACATCTTATCACATTGCTATAATTAATTTCTCCATTTAATTTTGATTCTGCTTTTCCCCCTCCCCCATGACTTCAGGTCCCTCAAAACCACATACTATGTTTGTCCTAATCATTTTAATACTAGAGGTCTTACAAACAGAAGCCTTGAAGTTCATGCAAAGGGCTTGGCCCTTGCAGCTGCTGCAGCTTGCCTCAGCCCTCACAGCCCCAGCTTTATCTGGAAGGTAATCCAGAAGAACATCTGGTCTAATTAGCATATTATACTTTTTTATTATAGATTCTCAGCAATTGTGACTACTTCTGGTTCACAGTAATTATTCAACAAATACCTAAGGAATGGATGAATGGAAGAATGTACAGATGAATCCCTGTTCCTAATATGTACAATTTGAACATTGGGTAAATAGTACTCCCTGATGCACAGGGAAATGGTAAGGATTAAATAAAATAGTGCATGTAAAGCACTTAACACAATTCCTGGCATGTGAAAGTTTTCACTAAGTGTTATTATTTTTATTATGAATGGAAATAGTTTAGTTAAATATACTAGTACTGTAGACATTAGATGGAACAAAAATTACTGAAGAGGGATGGTGGTTTAGAAGAAAATAAACTCAAAATTTTCTTTGAGGAAAAAAGAAAGATAAACTGAAGAATAGAGAAAATTAGGGAAGGTCATTTGAGGCTCTTCAGTTTAAGAATATTGCCCAACATGACTGATGAAAGCCTATTTAAGCAGCCCATTGGGAAGGACGCTGGGTTAAGACACTGCTTTTATTGCTCAAGCAATCAAGGTTGTTCTTTGGTGTCAAACCAACCCAAACAGGAACAGTTCTGAATTTGTCTTAAATAACAGTACTCTCTCTCTCTAAACAGTTCTGACATTAAACATAAAGACAACTTGATCTTTATGAGAACCAAACAGAGATATGCAAAATTTCATTCCTGTATTTTTGCAGTATTTTTATACATACAATGTTTAAACTTGCCAGAGTGAATGGATTATGTTTTGTTTGCCTAAATGCTAAAATGACTGCAAGTCACTTGTGAATAAAAGTCTGCCAAATGTCCTAAACCATTTTATGTCTTCAAGGATAGGGATATCTGCAGCTACCTTCTAGTCTAAATGCATTTCAAACCTAAGTCCTTCAAAGTTACTAACAATGACACCAGCTAAGGAATGATCAACAAAACTTATTGTTTCATTAACTCCATTTATTCCCTCTAATTAATAAATCAGTATTTTCTTCTATTAAGTCACCTGCCTCTTTCTGCCTCTCATGAACAGCCACCCCTATTCACCCTCTGAGAATTTTCATGTCACCTTGTCCTCAGTTACATGCTGATTAAAATGGAAGTGCCTGGTTTTAGCAACGGGTCAAGTGCAAGCTCATAAAGGTAATAATGTGATTAATGAACAATTATGTTTTAGAAAAATGTTTCCAAGCACCATTGAAAGTATATTTTTTAAAATGGCTTTCCCTTAAAAATGTGGGTGCGAACACACACACACACACACACACACACATACACACACATACACACATACACACACACATTTCAAGGTCTAGTTTGTTCTTCATGATTATTTTTCCTTTTTATTTTTTTTTTATCTTTCTCCCTTTTATATAAAGAATACCTTTACCTTTTACTGTGTGCCTTTATCTATTAGGTATCTCTTGGTAAGATGCTTTAGGTTATAAATACTATGAAATACTATGCTGACTAGAGAATCCACCCCAATCCAGATTACCACAGTCCCTTCATCAGCTGCATTAACCAGTGTCTAGCGAGTCTCAGGGAAAGGTTGGCTACAATATGCTCTGTGAATATCACACTGTGACGCTACGTAACTTAGGGCAAGTAACTTGCTTCTTCACCCATGTTTTATCTCTTAAAACATATCTCTCACTAAGCAAGACTATAGTCATAGAAAAGATCTCAGAATAAATCGGTATACTGTGCTGAGATAAAAGCAACAAATAATAACGGTTTGATTAAATGTTCAGCTTTTCAGAAATTTTTGTGTGTCACAAAATGTGAAGTTCCTCTGTTTTTAGTTATCTTCAATAATGAATAAAGGAGATTATACTTGAGAGTGAATATAAATGAGAGAATAAAGAGGATATTTAAAAGGATAAATAATTCAAAATTTGTTTAAATTCGATTGAGACATACCCAAATCCCTGCCCACTTATATTTGTTAATTGGCCCTTACCATAGCTCTCTCTTCTCTTTCCCCAGCAATTTTCACATGGGCATTTCTTCCATGCCCATGCTCTTCCCTGGACCAAGGCAACACTTCTTTGGCACAGCACAAATAGGATTCTATTATCCCCCGCTCTCTCCCACTAACATTTTCTAAAATTCTACCGCCAAATTAGACATTAAATGGGCAATGGGAAGATGTGAAGTTTAATATTTAACTTAAAGAAACAAACTCTATTTAATTTAGAATTTTTATATAAATATTACTCAGACCCAGAAATCTTTAATTAGCATGCATTCATTTGATGCTTTAGAGAACTGAACATCATATAAATGTTAAATGGTCACCAAAGCAGTATGTCACATTAGCATTTAGTGATAATTTAGAAATAGTGAATAAACTTCCCTATGTATTAATAAGGGAAGGTTGACAAAAGTTTTGCTGATATAAAAGCTATTCTCCAAGATGGATCAATAATCTATTTCCCTAAGATTCTATAAATGGGCAAGCCTAATTGCATAAATCTGTATGCACTTTTAAATGAATAATAAAACCTGCAATTAGAGTAGAGTATTCCTATGTATAAGCTGGGTTTTAAGTATTTTTTGTTTAATTTATTTAATCTTCATAAACCCCCCAAGTGTAGGTTTTGTTAACACCCCTTCGCACACAAGTGGAACTGGGGCACAGAGGGTTAAGTTGTCTCAGGTCACATCAGCTGGTTAAGTCCACACTCTCAACTGCTGTAATATGGTGTGAGGGGCATCTTGAGATGATTTGTTTTCTTTTAATCCACAGATACCAAAAAGAATATATCTAGGAGCAGACATTGGCAAAAGATTGTCACATGGTTTCTTTCTTAAATATTCGAATGGATCACATCACTATCCAAAAGTAACCTAAGAACAAGAAGCAAACATGTAAGGTCATGCAGCTAAGAAAACTTAGGGAAATAGCAGCAAACAGGTCACCAGCTGAGAAACCACTGTGATTCCCCTCTTTAAGCAAAAGTATCAGGCAGATTGTAGCCCAAGAGGCAGAAAAGCAGGCATCAGTGGCCTCTGCAAATAGCAACCTTGGGAAAAAATGCAGATAGGCATGTGTCAATCACTTCAGGCACCTTCATCTTCCCCGCAATATGCACATGGAAGAGGAATGTATTAATACCAGGCTATCAGGCCCATGTATGTCCCTGTGTGTTGTAAGGGCACTGAAAGATTATTGCTAGAGATTAAACAAGGATTCATATCTAAAACAATGAACAAATAATTTGGATTCTATATTTATTTTTGTTTTGAGAGGTAAGTAAATATTATTAAAGCTAAGTACCCTGTTTCCCCAAAAATAAGACAGTGTCTTATATTAATTTTTTTCTCCCAAAGTTGTGCTAGGTCTTATTTTCAGGGGATGTCTAATCTTTCCATACGCTAGGTCTTATTTTCGGAGGATGTCTTATTTTCGGGGAAACACGAGTATTAGGGGGGAAAGTTATTCTAGAAGGAAAAATTCAGTAAATACTTGAATAAACTGCCCAACCAATCAAAGAAAGATTCATTTAGCATAGTGATTAGTTTTGATGAAAAATGTGTGAACCAAGCTTTAGCTCTTTAACTTGGTGACCTTTCTTTTTTAAAAAAATGATATTAGTTTATTCATTCATTAGCCTCTTGCATACTAGCTAGTAAAGAGTGTCAGACATTCATAGAGGAGAGGGAACTTGAAGCTTCCCCAGGAAGGATCAAGATAGCAGCATCTGTCAGCCTTTAGGAAGAGGATGCCTAATTGAAAAGCAAAAACAAAACAAAATCCCTGGTAACTCCTTATTCTCTGGAAAGATGAAGGATTATTCCTTCAACCAATAAGTACACCTTGTGGCATCTAAGAGAGTCAAGGTCTGCCCCTATTGAGAAAGGATCAGGAGATAACCCTTCTCATAACTATAAAGACAGTACAGAGGAATCTGTGGAAATTGCTAAAATCACATCTAGCACATGGGTATTTGAAAGCCACTTATTACAATATGAATAAGTCCTTTGCATTTAAAGAATAGAAACAGGAAACCAGATGGACACTCAGAATGTCTGTGTCTATTGATACAGCATCAAGCAAAGAGAAACACACGGCTAGACACTGACGCAGACAGTTTGGTTTGCACTCTCAACAGCTCCCAGCCACAGCTGGCTGCACTTGCAAGCAAGTCTTTTTTTCTCTGACCCAGCTGTGCAGAGCCTGGGACATTACATTGCAAACGATGCCCACAGTAATTAGGCTAAGTTATCCTGGCTTTTTCAGAAATCTTAAGAAAGAACACATTTTGTCTTTGTCCTCCAAAATCTCTCCCAGTACTTACTTGCCCACTCCCTTTTCAATACCCAGTCACTCCTATTGCTTACTTGGGATATTTTCTAGACTGAATGAAGGGCAGAATCTCAGAGTCTTGACTAGATGGAGGAAGTAGTAAATCTCGAAATCGTTCTGTAAAAAGAAAAATGAACACCAAGCTGTAAAAAAAAGTCATTAAAATAATTTCAAAATAGAGTTATTTCTTCTTCTTTCATATTTGTTAACTATTTGACTGTGCATCATTTATTAGAAGCTTACTCACTGTTCTCTATACTACTAAATTATATCTATTTCACTTTAATGACCATATGTCTTTTTATGATTAAGATATCACAACTGCGAATATAAAAATATCAAGTATTTGCTAGTATTGACCAATAAAACCTTATCATTGAAAGATTAGATGAAATATATGTAACCAATAAATATACCAAGAGATGCACAATCTCATTAGTAACCTGTGAAATGCAAATCAAAATCACACACCATTAGATAGCATTCACGTTCCATGGCATGCAATTGATAGAAATTACTCTCACAAGATCAGGTGTTAAAAAATGTGAATCAATGTGACCTTTCTATGTTTCAGGTGGTCCTGCAAGTTGGCCTAATAGCTTTGGGAAAACAATTTGGCCTTATCTTTTAAGTTAAGGGTTTAACCTTTGCATACACTATGAGCCAATATTTCCATTCCCAGATATGTACTCTAAAGAAACCTTCAGATATGTCTCAGGCAGCAAGTAAAAAATGTTCATAGCAACACTGTTCACAACTGCACAATATAAACAACTGACCTGACCATTGATAGGAGAACAGACAATTTGTGGTATACTCACACAATGGAATATTAATTGAAATAAAACTGAACAAAATCAGTTACAAATAAAAACATAGTGAATCATGATGTTGAGTGGAAACTAGCAGCAGAATACATATATAGAAGAATATCATTATTTTGTTGAATTAAATAAACAACAACTAAGCAATGTATTGTTCAGGTATATTATATATAAAAAAACACACAAACAAACCAATGATAAAAGGAATGATATACACAACTCAGGATAATAGCTACCTTTTAGGCGGAGTAAGGGAATTAGTTAAAAAAGCAAAGGTATAGCTATTAATATTTCACACGTATTAACTATAGCATCAAAAATGAGTGAATGAATGAGAGAATAAAAGCTAGGAACTGTCCCATGATGATATTAGCCCATGAACCAAGAATTTGATTAATAAAATTCTATCCTTAGACAGTTGGTAATGAAGGGAGGAAGGAGGAGGTGAAGAGAGGGAGGAAGAGAAAAAGGCAGTGAAGGAGGGAGGAAGAGAGAGAAGTGAGATAAGGAGGAAGGGAATGAAAAAGAAAATAAAAAAGAAAGAGAAGGCAAAGCGAAGAAAGGAAGAATCCCAGTCCTACCTTAGATGTAGTTAGACTATACAGTTATCTGCACTGTGTAATCTACCACTCTAATACGGATCCCATGCATCTAGCACTAGAGCTATTCCATAACTCTAGAGGCATCCCTAATGGGAGGCTCCCTGATCCCGGCATTCTTCCTGTCCTCCTACCATATCTGGAATAGATGTCCCTACTCTACTCCTAGTATATGCTGTACTTACACTCTTACAGAATTTATCGCACTACATATCTATCGTTATATGATAGATACATATTCTAGTATCTATGGTACAATGTCATCAGCATATGGAACATTATCTGGTGCATTCACATTAAAGTGCTAGATAAGTGTTAGCTGAAAGAATATTTATAATTTCCACTTTTCGCTGCATGCAGAAAACTGTTTGCTACAGTTAATCACAGCTTTAGAAGAGCCCAAATGCTATCAACCATGAGAAGCAATGGGACCTGTATTTCAGCTGTGACAATCACAACATCAGGCTGAGACAGAGCGTAACGCTGAACTCCAGGCTTCAGTCAATCTGTCCCTAACTGAAGGTGAGCAATTTCCACAAAATACTGAAAATCTACAGTTGAGGATATTTGCCATTTCCCAGTTACCGAATAGTTAGATGTTACACATTTGTGAGCATCATGGCTACAAAGTATGGCTGAGAAATAGGATGTGGATCTTTATTAAAACATGCTGAATCCGATATTTAGCTGACTTCTACTGTTCTTTGTGTTTTCGCCACTCCGACAGTTGTTATAAAACACTTAGGGAAGAACTAAAAAAAAATCTAACACAGGTGGCTTTACTCCCGAGTTCACATGAAAATACAATTTATTTTTTCTCTTTTAAAAAGTATACTTACTTTTTAATTTGAGTTCATATTTTTTAAAAATTAAGTTACATTATTGACTGATATATTGTCATTTTTAATGAAGAGAATTAAAATTCATTTCAATGAAATATCTAGTAATTCTTTACTTTCCAATGTATGTAGCTTTTCATTAAATGAGTTATTTTTTGTGTTTCTCCTTCTCCTTGTTCCCTTCCATTTATCCCCTTTTTAAAAAGAGTCTTCTAAAGTAAAGCCCATGACCCAGCACCAAACATGATGAACTTTATAAAGAACTGTTCAATGAAACAGCTATATTAAATATGATATATATTTTGTTGTAAATAATAAACATAAATTAAAATGTTACTGTGTGATTCCCAAACTAATTTTAATGCAAAGAAAAATCAGAAACCTTAATGAAAACAACTATAATATTAAATAGCTATAGGGTATTCCCTATTTATATAATCGCAAAATACATTTGAAAGAAAAATCTCTGAAGATAACATTTCAATGATAGGACTAAAATAAAACAAGACAAACGAACAACTCCCCCCACATACACAGAGAGCAAAAGTGGCAAATAAGAGGTCATTTACGAAGCTACCCAAATTATGAAATCTATAATTATTCCTACATTTGAAACATCCTTTAATCTGAATATCATAAATACAAGGAATACCAAGAGAAAATGAAGATCCTTGAGTAGCTATCATGATTGTCAAAAATGTTTATATATATGAACAGAAAAGTTTATATATAAAATGCTTATATATATAAACAGTATCTTAAAATTATGTCCTTTTATCTATTTTTAAAATTAAATTTATTGGGGTGATGTTAGTTAATAAAATTATGTTTCAAGTGTATATTTCTATGATGTATGAACTATATACATTGCACTGTATGCACCCACCCAAAGTCAAATCATCTTCCATCACCATATATCTGGCTCCCTTTATTTACTCTTTACCATCCCCTACCCACTTCTCTCTAGTAACCACCACACTGTTGTCTGTGTCTATGAATTTCAGTTTTATATCCCACATATGAGTGAAACCATATGTTTCTTAGCTTTTTTTGACTAATTTATTTTGCTTAGCATAATATTCTCAAGGTCCATTATTGTTGTCTCAAATGGCAATATTTTTTTTAATATAATTGTATTGATTTCAGAGTGGAAGGGAGAGAGAGAAACATCAATGATGAGAGAGAATCATTGACTGGATTTCAGAGAGGAAGGGGGAAAGAGAGAGAGAGAGAGAGAGAGAAACATCAATGATGAGAGATAATCATTGATTGGCTGCCTCCTACATGCCCCCTACTGAGGATTAAGCTCGCAACCAGGGCATTTGCCCTTGAGTGGAATGGAACCCGGGACCTTTCAGTCTGCAGGCCGACACTCTATCCACTGAGCCAAATCAGCTAAGGCTCAAATGGCAGTATTTATTCTTTCTTTCTTTCTTTCTTTCTTTCTTTCTTTCTTTCTTTCTTTCTTTCTTTCTTTCTTTCTTTCTTTCTTTCTTTCTTCTTTCTTTCTTTCTTTCTTTCTTTCTTTCTTTCTTTCTTTCTTTCTTTCTTTCTTTCTTTCTTTCTTTCTTTTTCTTTCTTTCTTTCCTTCCTTCCTTCCTTCCTTCCTTCCTTCCTTCCTTCCTTCCTTCCTTCCTTCCTTCCTTCCTTCCTTCCTTTCTTTCTTTCCTTTCTTTCCTTTCTTTCCTTTCTTTCCTTTCTTTCCTTTCTTTCCTTTCTTCCCTTTCTTCCCTTTCTTCCCTTTCTTCCCTTTCTTCCCTTTCTTCCCTTTCTTCCCTTTCTTCCCTTTCTTCCCTTTCTTTCCTTTCTTTCTTTCCTTCCTCCCTTCCTTCCCTTCCTTCCTTCCTTCCTTTTTTTTTTTTTTTTTTTCTAAATCCTCACCAGAGGATATTTTCCCATAGATTTTTAGAGAGGAAGAGAGAAGGAAGTACAGAGAGAAATGTCGATGTGAGAGAAACACATCAATTGGTTGTTTCCTTCATGTACCCCAACCAGGGCCCTGGTCTGGAAGGAGCCTGCAACCAAGGATGGAACTCAGACCCTTCAGTGTGCAGACTGAAGTTCTGTCCACTGAGCCAAATGGCTAGGGCTCAAATGGCAGTATTTCATCTTTTCTTATGACTGAGTATTATCCCATTGTATATATATATACCACATCTTTATCCAATACTCTACTGAAGAACATTTTGTTGTCTCCATGTTTTGGCCATTGTAAACAATGCTGCAATGAACATAGGGGTGCATATGTTTTTGTGAATAAATGTTTTCAAATTTTTCTACCTGAAAATGATGTTCTTTTAAAAAGTTATATTTTTATTATATTAATAAATTCTTAAATGTGGAGACTTAACTCTATCTCATATCTCATAAAGACAGATTGGTTTATTTGTTTATGAGAATAAAAATAAATGATTAAAATTATTCTTAGAAAAATCCAAATGAAAATTGTTCATAATTCTTACATTAGTCCTTCTGTAGTTTCCCAGATTATGCCTATTATCTATTTAATTAGTATCCTGTTCTTTATTAGTTCATAGGAATAAAAGCCAAATAAATTGATGTTTCATTTGTTAAATAGCAAAACTTTAAAAACAATACTGTTCTCTTAAGCAAAATGTCAACCAGAGGATTTGCTTTCTTGGTAAATCCAAAATCTATTCCTTAAGAAAATGGTAGTTTTCCCAATACTAGGGCTAGGTCCATTCACAGAGCTTCTCAAAAAGAATGAAGGAGAGGATTTTCTACATATGATATTCTGATGAGCCAATTAATGATGTGATGAATGTCTGAACAGGATTTCCTAACAGTAGGAGATATATCTTAATGAACACAAGCTTTTGTAGACTTTCACCCAC